TTACAACACTTTCTTAGCTTACGCTCGGGAAATAAAAATATAGTTGGCGCCGCGACTCCGAAGCTATTATGGGTCATATTTACGATGTAGTGTTAAAATAAGCTTGCCTCCTCAAACTAAAATCATTGGCGTTTATAGAATGTCAATATTTCTTTTCTTTATCAAAGTATAACAATTTTATCTGGTACACATGTACAGGGTGAGTATTAAAATAAATAACGGGACCCTGACCAAATTTCAATGCAATACAAAATACATATCCCATATGTAACTCTTTTTATATTTTATTTTTCTAAAATGTACAAACATGATTACCTAGTAGTTAATTTTGACTTTCGCAATAATTCTATTTCTCAATTTTGAGCTTCGATAAGTTTTTAGTCTTCGCGATAAGATGAGGGTTAAATACACGAACGATGAAAAGATTGATAGGTATGATTTTGATTTTTGGAGAATGCGGAAAAAATACCGTTGCAACAGCAAATCTCTACGAAAGAAGATATCCCGATAGGCGAAATCCATCCGACCAAATCTTTAGCTAACGCTAAGACAAAGTTGGCCGAATGAATCAAAAGATAGAGGACTTACCGCTACTGGTGTCGAAAATTAAATTCGTGTAATTGAAGCCGTAGACAATGACCCGCACGTGAGCCAAAGATTTATGACACGACATTAGTACAAGATCTAAAGGAAGAAGACTTTCTCAGAAGGATACAATTTTGCAAGTTTATGCAACATCAACTACAGTTGCACCACAATTTGTTATTCAAAGTTTTGTTCAGCGATGAAGCAAGATTTGGTAATAACAGGGCTGTTAATCAGCTGTTACTATTACTCCCAAAATAACCCACACTGGATCAGAACAGCTCATTTTCAAAATGTTTATTCCATAAATGTATGGGCTGGTATTATTGCAGATTACGGAATTGGTCCATACTAGTTTGCATAAAGACGTCAGTATTCTCACATTTTCTAGAAAATATTCTTAATTTGATAAATAAAAAACTGGTCGAAGGCTATAAGCATAATCCGAGAAATCCAACTCTTTAAAAAATTATAAAATTGATTTTACGGTTTTAGTTTTGTGATAACCTCTGTGAAGTAAAAATGAACGGCATAAATAACACTCCCGTAGCCAACCAACGGGATAAGATATCCTTCAGCACCAGGTAACACAAATCTGAAGTGTTTATTTATGTTTATACCTACATCGAAAGAATGCCACGTAGAAACCCGTCACATATATCAGCTGCTTACTAGAACATCAGTTCGAGCACAATTAACGGAGCGAAATTAATAAATTAAAAATACAGCGAACATGACCGCGGAGGATCCTGCCTTCGATAGCTCATTCTAGTAGTGACAGCTGCCATCCCACGCCATACAAAATCGATCCAAACACGGATAAAAATTTTACTTGATCCAACCCTCAACCTCTAAACAACCCCCATTTAGAGAACCTTCAGATCGCAATATAGTGTGAGTGTATTATTATGTAGCGTGTGCAGAGTAATCAATTATGCATAAACCTAAATGATTGATTAAAGCCAGTATTTACGTTACAAGCAATAAAAATCGTGTGACATACATACAAGGGGTATGCTGTTGATTAACTAATTACATGTTATTTATGTCGACTTTTTTATATGTTTAACTTAACGTTACATTAAATGTACACTAATTGAAGCAGTTAGAAATTTTTAATTGTGAAAGTAAGACTGCAGTTAAGTGTGCGTCGGAAGGGAGAAAATGCGTAACATAAAATAAATTCAGTTTCCAATGTGCTCAACTAAACTCTTTTGAACTCGATATATTCGAGAAATATAAATATATTAAAGTATAGCATAATATTCAATTAACGATAAAAATACTTTAACGCGATAATTTAAAATACTGTCTTCAATTTTACTTCTCGAGCTCTAAGGAAATATTGTAATAAGAAGATGCATCCAGAGAATGGCTACTTCCTTGTTTCCTCGTCGTTTCATGTAGAATACAAAAATAGGTCTCCCATTTCCATCTGTCTATCTGTCTATTTGTCTATCCGCCGTCCGTGTGAATTTTTGTTAGACAAATAATCTTCAAAACTTCAGGACCGATTGTTGTCAAATTTTATATGTGTATTATGAATATCATACTTACGGTTACTTCAAAGACGTACATAGTAAACGGGTCTTAAATTGTATAAAATACCTTAGTCATACACATGTAGGTTATGAATCCATGTGACTTTTTCCCCGAGAGATCAGATTTAAAAAAAATCAAAATTGTGTAACATTTTATTTAATTGATTAAATTAGGAACTGCAAATCCGAATGCTATAAAATCTTGCAACCGTTTTAATGTTAAAAAACCCCCCGAAAGTTTACTTTCATTTTGATTAAATTAACAGAAAAGGTCGCAAAAATTAAAAACGATTACATACATATATTTCTCTTAGCCGGAAATAAAATGGTATAGTTCATGTCCACGTTTTTGGTAATAAAGTGGTACTTTATTCCCTAAGGAATACAGTAAAAACAATTTAAGTGAAATACCAAATTTTGTACACATTTTTCTATTTCTCCAGAAGCAAATTGGACGTTACATCTTTAGCTCTTGCAGTAATGACCAAAGGTATATCAAACTCTTCTCCAATGTTCATTTTTTCCATTTTTTAATGGAAAATTAACTACAATTGAATATTTCGAATGTTTTTTTTTTTCGCACACAACAAACTCGTTTCCTTGATAACTGTCAGCCCAAACTGTAATTTATTGTTAATTTAACCGGTTGGGAGGAAAGCTTTGTATGGATCTCTGGAATAAACTTTCTTAATCCCTCGACTGAAGATGCCCAAGCGACCGAAGGGAGCGAGGGCATCACTTACAGTCTCAGAATTAATATGGCGGTTTGTTCCCTTGATGCATAAATAACTTATAGGGATTCTCACAAAAAAAAATAAAGTTCGCAAAATAAAATTTTATTATATTTCAAAAAGCTGGATACTATTGTACTCTAGAGGGGAGGGAAGTTCTGTCGAAATAGCCTTCGACCAATTTTTTTAATTTATATTTTTTAAATTTTGGTCTAAACCCAAATCTAGGTTTTGCAACTAATATGGGATCTTATTAGGTCTACAATGTTAGTTTTGTCGGACGTTATAAAGTCACAAGCGGAGGTTTTGGTCCCCTGGGTATTGTTAGTGGCGCTTGTCTTTCCAAATCGAGGTCCGTCCGGGTTCGGTCCCGTTTTCAATGTAGTTCCGTTCTGGTGTTGATTATTTCCTTGTCGTTGTCCGGAGTGACTTCGTGACATCTGTGACAGAGAAATTATTTCAATATTTGTGTGGAGTAATAGAGTAATTAGGAATTGAAATGAAAAATTAGAGAGAAGAAGAAAAAGAAAAAGAAATATCAAAAGAAATAAGAGTACGTAAGGATAGATAAGATTAAAAGCTTGTTATTGTATTGAGTTGTCAACTCGTCGGTTGACGAGTTAACATTGTTGGTCAAAGTACGGGAGCGGCGTCGTGACTCCGTCTGGGATGTGGTGGCAGTAAGACGGCAGAGTGGCTTCACCTTACCGTGTTATTTACATATCCTAGAGAGCCGGAGACCGTTCAGGATAAAGCAAGTAGTGCAATGAGTGAATGTTTAAGTTTGCGTTAGGAACTTTAGGACGGCAGTTTAGCCGGTATCAGTGGAATATTTGTGGATGGTATGATGACTTTGAATAGCAATTTGGTCAGTGCTGCGAGTCGTGCAGGAGATGTAGTTTTTTGTGCTTGCTCGAATGATCGGTATAGGTATTTATGAAGAAGTTTGGAAGGTAATTTATACACAATGATAGTGCCTAGGTCGGCAATCGTTACATCAGAGGACCTGAAATGACAATAAAGCATACCGTAGTTAGTTCCCAAACCTGCTCGTGGAACTGATAGATCTCCCTCACTCTTAAACGTACCGGCCGCAGCCCTCATATATAAATCGATTTAGCCCGCTGCGAGCCAAGTGACGAAGGACGAAGGAACCCAGACCCTCTAGACTACTTTGCCGGAGTGTCTGGTTTAAGGATAATTAATCTCCGAAAGAAAAGTCAGTACTTTGTTTTCACGAGTTCCCCTTCATCCGACCATGTGATCTCTCAACCTAAGCAATTAGGTCTTAAGAGTTTGCACATTCTAAATTATCACCAACACAACTTATACGTCTGAATTTTAGCGTTATAGACCGACAGCAAGAACTTAATGCCTTATGCAAACCGTATTGCTATTAGTTTTACACTGCATCTATCCAGATTGATGTATGTGTCCTGACATAAATGAAGTCATCACAAAACTGTAATTAAAACACTCACTTGAAGCATACACTTAGCATGCTTCTGTGCCTTGAGTTGAGTTTTTATCCGAGACCATTATCCAGATTTTTTGAAATATAATAAAAATTTTATAAAAATATTTTGCAATTTAATTTCGAAACTGCAAAATCAAATGCTCTGAAATTTTGTTTTACAGGTATCATAAACATTGTAAATTTGTAATCAAAATATATCTGTCCCCTAAAAAATCGATGACGTCATCTCAAATCCTAAATTATACAAAATATGATAATTCTGTACTTGCGATTTATTATTGCATTCATATTTTTTAGAATTTCTTATACAGGGTGAAAAAAAGAATGAATGGGCTCAATTTATTTTATTGATTAAATCAGAAACGGCTCATTCCATTTTTCAGAAAATTTGGGAATATAATATGTACTGTTATATGTATTATCTATTAGTATCTACTATATTCCAAATAGCCAAACTGGTATATGTGTCCTTGAAAAAATGTTGGTGACGTCATCATAAAATTTTGTATTGTTTTTAACTTAAAAAATTTGCAAAATTAATTTTATAATTTTTCGAAGAATCTGTAATTGTTGACCTGTATTTCAGGGGCGTGGAAAGTACTGTCTAAATAACTTGAGATCAGTTCTAACGTTCTAAATTTTAAAAAAGAAATCGTTATCTTCTAGGTGGCATGGGTACGAGCCGAAGACCAAACAATCTTGACCCTCCACACGAAAGTTGTAACTCACAATTCTCGAATCAGCGTGACGCACGACAACCTCCGAACGTGGCAGCTCCGGATTCGCCAATTGAAAGAGTCAGACCGCGGCTGTTACATGTGTCAGATCAACACCAGCATCATGAAAATTCAACAGGGGTGTCTGGACGTTTACGGTGAGTCGTCTTCGATTTTACATAAAAATCTGTTTTATGTCGCGCCAGGAAACGGATAACAATTTATCAATATCACTATCAATCATGTGATCACACGCCCCAACGAAAAACTTTTAAAGCAAAACTATGTAAAGAAAAATTATTGCAGGCAAGTTTTTATCGTTTCATCTACGTCATGGGTTCATTTTAAAGCGCCATTTTCAGTAGAGATTATCACCTTCATCGAGGTGCGTGTAGATGACATGGTGCGACGAAATCGGAACAATGGCCGCCGACAGAAATATAAAGTTTCGATGGAAATAGAGCGCAAATAATTACATATGTAATATAAATATATAGTTACGAAAGACTGTAACTATTCTATCTCATATTACTTAAGTGTAAGTTCTACCATAGGTACAGTTTATCTTACACCTTAAGGATAAGAATTAAATAATCTACCTTGAGTTCTTTATATCTGATTAACGTAATAGACTCATTCGAACTAAAACAGTTCCTAAAATTTAACGTCTCAACTAATTGCCCTTTGTGAATTTGGTGCTCGCAGATTGTGTTTCAATATTACTATAATAAAAGAATAATTTTCGTTCTACTTTAAATAGTTCTCATATTTCCTTAATATCAGATAACATGCGTGCAAAGAGTCCTGAAATGGAAAGAAATTGTTAAATCAGAGTTATTCTTCATTAGGCTGTTACAATTTTGTAGTAACTCTAATCAAATTTGATATAAAACGATAATAATCAACTCTTCACTTCTCGTTTAAGTTGGCAGCGTGCAGTGCCGAAACCAAAGAATATTTAGGTATAGGCGAACCTTGCGTTAGGCGCCCCTCCCCTACACATAAAAATGCAATTTTACAGAACAGTTTTATTTATATTTTTTAATAAGTATGCAAAAACAGATACTATGATAAAATATAAAAAAAAAGAAAAAAAATTCGAGATTATACATATAGGTATATAATATGTATAAATCTATAAATATTATATGTATAAGTTCAAAATAAAACCAACATTAAAAAACCTGTCGCACCGGTTACATGTTTCTGAGCTTCCGTTCAAAATGAAAAAAGATTAATATGACATAATTCTTGGTATAGTTTTGGAAATTTCATTCTACCCTATAAAATTTTATTGACGATAACGAGACGGACAGTAGTAGAATGGTAAGAAATATTTATGGCTCACACCAGTTCACTAGAATTTGTCTGAGAATATTTGGCAGATAGTTGTACTCATAAAATAATGGTCATTTCTGTTCATAAATAACGATGGTCCCAGCCCGGACCTGGATTATTTTGGTTTCTAACATCTGGGGATTACCGGCACGCGACAACTTAAGTTGTAAATATCTCTTGCTATTGTACTACTGTGCATTTCGTTATTGCCAATAAAATTTTATAGGGTACAATGAAATTTCCAAAACTATACAACATAATTTTTGGACGAATTTGGCGCCCCTTGCCGTTGGCGCCCCTAGGCAAGGGCCTACTCGGCCTATAGCTAGTTTCGGCACTGGCAGCGTGTATCTATATTTCGAAAGAGACGCATTTTAAACGTCAGACGTCGCGGCGTTCTTGCTAATTTGATTTAAATCGCTCCTAATATCCAAAAATCGGTACATGATTGCTGTAAATTTTGCTACAAATTTTATTTCATCTCACATTTGTAAGCGTTAAAATTTTAACTTCAGTCATTAGATTCACTAAAATTTTCTTGTAGATATTTTTTTCCCGAATGTTTGTATTTTTTAAAATAATTAATTACTATTATTTACTCGTATCATACAGTATTTCGAGAACTCTTTTATGTTTGATTTTTAACGTTAGCATATAACAGCATTACCATTTCTAGCAATGTCATTAGTATTACTTATTTAATTAATTTATTTATTTGTTTATGAAAAGCACGATTAGACAGAGGTTGAAACCTGTTGTGCCCGTCCCATATCATGGCACAAGAAATATAATGGTTTTACGACTTTGATTCCTTCACTAACCTTCCCAACGAAAAATGCAGCGGATTGCAATTCTATGACACTATCCCAAACTTAAATAGAAGCTCTTTCTTGTATTTCGCTGGCACGCTTCTAAACAAAACCGGATTATCTTTAGCGATAGGTATTAGTTTAAGAAGTCAAAATCACAAAACCACTGTATCGTTTAAACAATATATAATACACAAAAATTGATATTACTATAAATATCAAATATGTTTTGAAATTTTTTAACAAGTGATTTTTTTTTTGTTACTTGTCAAGTAAGTATAAAAGTAAAGGCAAAACTGTCCTTTTTAATCTGAAATTATTTTTATTCGTCAACAAACAGCATATTTCCCTTTAAACTACGGCAGTGCTCCATACACCATGCATTAATTAATGTGATTTTATACAATGCTGAAATATTTACTATCCATGTCAAAATCTGAACTCCAGGAATTCTTACAGAAATACTCTTTTTTTAAATACTTAATTTCAAAGTACCATTTGCAACTTCTAATTCTCGCTTGCTGCAAGTTTCAAAACACGTTTACTGAAGGTACCAAAGTTCTTTTCGAGTTGTATTTAAAAAATGCAGTATTTCCAATGCATTTTTGATAAAGAAAACAGAACATTTCACAGCCATGTAGAAGGCAACAGTTTGCTTAATTGGCTGTCATCCAATCAGAAAGCCACATTTTGTTCGCTCCCCCGTCATTTTTGAAAATGATGTATCTTGAGTTTTTCCACGGTGATTTAAATTTTGTGTGTTTGTGTTGGTGAAGGTGTTTTTTTTGAAGAGGAAGAAGATCTTGAAAATTGTACGCCCCCAGATATCACAGAAGCAGCTAAATTAACCACACTAAAACTAGTCACTACCCGAAAAATCACAGGGAAAATAACGTCCTCCTGACGTACTTCTTCGTATTAGCTACGAAATATAAATTCACCTTATAATTAACTGCTTAGATAAACAATTAACGTACATAGCAATAGTCAAATTATCAAAGCTTTTTTTATCATTATTATTAATATAACTTGAATTAGTCGCACTATCACACTATTACACCTTCTTTTCGATGGCCTTCCTTTGTTCTTCTTTCCGAATCGTTTTGAGTAATATATCATTTTTGGCATTCTTTCGCTACACATCCTCTCTACGTGCCCCAGCCATATCAGTCGCTGTAGCTTAGTAGACGTACTTATATGGTTCCTTGTATGAAATTGTAATTTCCCTGTTTGTTCTTTTCCACCCCTCCTCAATTTTTATTCCCCTCTTTTTTCAATTTCTCTAAAACTGCTTTCTGTGATTTCTTCAGCACCGAGGTATCGTTTGCGTAAGTTTGAGATTTAAAAAGATTGTTTGGTATATGCTCACTTTTATTTTTCTTGGTAAATATTTTGACCTGGTTAGCATGGATAGACTATAATAATTTTTACTTCCCCTGACTAATCTGTTCTTCCTTCCTCTCCATTTTCCTCCATTGTTACCTTGTAGTACTTAGTTACCCAAATTTTAAGATGGCATCATGGGTTCTTTTAGATGAATTTGGAATCGCGTTCTAGAGTCTTCAGTTGTGTTGACCAATAATTTGTAAAAAAATTCTTGAACGAACAAATGAATATAGACCAGAACTTAATTAACTTCAAAAACGTTATAGACAATATAAAAGCAAGGATAGCGTCGACAAGATCTTTGCAACTTCCCACTGCCATGTCGTGACAAGTATTGAGAAAAAGTCATTTCGAATTTCGGTTTTTAATAGCATTATGATTTATTTTTGCTGTAAAAAAATATAAATTAACCAAGAAGAAACAGAAATTGTTGGTCGTTCCGTCAAATATTGAAATTTTATCAGAGCTGCAGAAGCGTAGATAACTCTGCCTCAACGAAAACAAAAGCAATTAAACACAAGATGAAATGACAAAAAATCATTTTTATTTTCTTAGTAGAATTAAATAATAACGACCTATTAATGAGTAAAATTAAACTTTCAATGAGTCACTGTCTACTTATTTTCCAATCACTATTTATTATGCTTATTAAAGCGTCATTAAGCCAATATGTAGCAAATAACGGACGCAAGTGGATTTTAAACCCAGGTGTAGTCAAGGTTTGTAAATAATAAAGTCCGTTGTTTGCGTATCGACCGTATACCGTTCAAGAGTTTTCGTAATCCCATGTACAAATTCCATACTTGGTTCAAAGAGAGGAGTAAAATTTTAAATTTCGTAATTCCATAAAATAAAATCACCTGAACAGGATGCAGTTGCCATGGAACAGTTTATAAACAGAATTTTATAAACAAACTCCCTTTTAGTAGATTTTAGACTTTTCTGTGGTTTTACAATAATTATGGTGGAAATTGAAGAGAATTTGGAAATTCCGATTGAAATATTAGAAGAATGATATACTTCAAGCTCTGGACATCTAAAACAATGGAGGTGTCCCAAAGAAAATTGCAGCAGTGACATACATATTTCAAGTGTCAGATAAATGTCAAAATAATTATTTGAAAAAAATCAAGGAATTACTCACAGTATGAAATAAAACGCCATACGTTATACGTCCGGTAACTCTCTTCACAGTAATCGTTTAGAAATTCCAGACTCGGTTCCCTACGGTCGTCTTGAAACATCTCACTCGTGCTGTAAAATATGAGTTACCGGACATAACACATATATTATTACTATTATAACAGCCTCCGGTCGTCTAATACAGGTATATATTTATTTATTGTAAAAATATGAAAGTTGAATTTACAGCTGGTATTATTGGAAATTTGCAATCTTGAACTTTTGTGAACTTGAGTACTAGAAGTGGTGATATAATTTTGAGATGCTGTGGTTGTCACTATAAATAATCTAGTATCTTTATCTTTTGAGCTATGTAATTGTAGACACCATTTTTCCACTTTGAAATCGGTTTAGAAGTGTCAAGCCGAGTGTTTAATTTTCCATAAAATTTTAGTAATATCAGTCTAAATAAATTAATCTCATTCATCTACAAACTCAAATTC